ACAAGCGTCTGGAACAATAGCACAGCAAGTAGGGCGTTTGCCTTGCATGCCGCCAACCCAGGTTCGATTCCCAGCATCCCATATAGTCCCCTGAGCACCGCCAGACATAATTCCTGAGTGCAGAGCCAGGGGTAACCCCTGTGCATTTCCGGGTGTGACCCAAAAATAGCAAAAAAACCCCTAAATGAATGGTTTGAAGCTCTTCATGTTCTTGGAGTGAGCAGACACCATTAGGCTACACTAGCATGTGACAGGGATGAATGGAGACATTACTGGTGCCCGCTCGAGCAAATCTAGCAACAGGGTGACAAGTGATACAAGCGCTACGAGTGATACTGTCATGCCATTTGCGAATAGTGAGAGGTTGACATATTTTGTTTTATTTTGTTTTTATTTATTTAATTGAATCACCATGATAGAACATTACAAAATTGTTTACGATTGCATTTACGTCATACAATGTTCCAACATCCATCCCTTCAATATAATTTTCCAACATCAGTGTCCCCAGTTTCCCTCTCACTCCTTCAAGCCATCCCCCATCCCAGAGAACCCAGAGAGACACCAGCACCCTATTGTCACAGCTCCTAAGCTCCTTAAGTGACAGAGCTGATGACTATCAGTAGAAGGATAGAAAATTAGATAGAAAATTTAAGTAGAAGCTCATTAATCTCAGTGAGTGAGAACAACTACATAGCAGCCTCAAATTGCACCTCACAGCTCAGTAAATCCTCAGGCCATGAGTTTAGCAACCATTACAAGATATATTGTATATATATATATATATATATATATATATATATAGTAACAAGCAATATCAAGTAAATTATTTTGTGCCCAGGCTTGGGGGGAGGGTGGGAAACTGGGGACACTGGTAGAGGGAAGGGCGCATTGTTGGTTAGACTGGTGTTGGAATATTGAATACCTGAATGAATCAGCTGTATTTGGACAGCGTAATAAATCATGGTGTTTCAAGTTTCTTTTTTTTTTTTTTTAAAAAAAACAACTCTCCAGTAAACCCAGGTGACCATGAATTTTATTATTGGAAATATTCTTAATTAGAGATTCGGTTTCCTTGCTTGTGATTGGCATGTTCAGGCTTTCCACTTCCTCCTTGTTGAGTTTATCCCGTTACTATTTTGTTTCAGTCAATGTGTTTTTTCAGTTTGTGAGCATAAGCTTTGTGAAGTTCACTGACCTGTCATTTGAAGCATAGATGTTGGTAAGAGTTAGGTAAGTACTATGCCTGTCATGTTATGTCTGCTACTAGACTTTTTGTCTAGTTCAGTTCCTCACCTTGGGCAGACATGTGGATCCTTCTTTTTTTTTTTTCCAAAATTACTCCCGGCTTTATTTTTTTAAAGTTGTTCACAATAATTTATTACATTCAATATTTCAACACCAATCCTGACACCATTACACCATCCCACCATCTTTATTTTGAATTTTTTCACCATCACCCAAACCTACCCCCAAAGCATGTACTAAAAAAGTTATTTTGTATTGCTTGTTATAAATAATACACTAACAATGATCCAAAAAAGTTTCCTTGGAGTAAAGTGTGTGAAGTGTTATCTCTCATCCTAGAGCCCTTGTATAAGTGATTACTAACATGTTACAGGTTGCCTCTTGTGTGCTAATATACATATATTCCTTCGAAAATTACAACCCATCATTGCAGTGTGCTATTCTTGGTACATCAATGGGGCCGAGTGTGAGATGTTGCACTGCTGCTGATGTAGCCACAGGCTCCAGGAATTCTAAAAATTTAAATAGGGTGATACAGCTAAAGTTACATTTTTAACTGGATGGTGACTTTGGGGTGCGGAGGCAAACTCTGTGCTGTGTTGCTCTCTTTCTCTTCTGAGATTTATTTGTGATTCTCTGGATCATGGCCGTTAATGAGCTTATATGGCATCAGAGGCAGTTCTGGATCTTTCTGTCTTCTGTGAAGAAGTTTGTTGGAACACTGGAGATGAGTGTTCTCAATTTCTTGAAACTTTTTCTTCTGGGACTACAACTTGCACAGCTAAGGTCCTTCTAAGTAGGATCAATATGTTGTATTGGCTTTGTAGCCTGTGTTTTTGGCAGCTACCATAATTTAGCTCTGAAGGCATAGAGACAAAGGAATCTACCTGTAGTCCTTTTAAAATTTCTGGGATTTACCTGAGACTTTAACAGGTTATTAGAGGCAAAGAGTAGTAGAAAAAGGTCTTTTGCACAGTGGTGGACGAATATTGGCTGTTTGGTTATGGTGTGTTGTGGTAACATTGTACTTGTAAACATCTAAACATACACACTCAAATAAAAATACTTTGAAAACGTTTGCGTCTAGTTGTCACACCTGGTTTTTGGCACAAAAGGAACTATTTTATGCATATTGGGAAAGCACACTGGGGTCCTGGTAAATCTAAAAGTCTTGACTCTTCTGCTTGATCTCTAATTTATCCTGTGGTGACTAGACAGCCCTTTGTTTTTCTTACTCACTAACTGTAGCTCTGACCCCCTTATCCCTATTCTACCAATGCCCCTGGCATTTGTGCACCCAGCTGTAAATATGCAGGCACCTGAATTGATCACGTATCTTCTGTGATATATTTAAATGACTTATATGAGATAAAGAGTTACTTTCTGGTTGTTTTAATATCTCCCTATTGTAGTACATTTATTATTGTGCTATATATGTTTTATATACATTTAATATATATATTTTAATTTATTTTTTATTAGTGAATCACCGTGAGGTACTGTTACATACTTAAAAACGTTTTTGTTTGCATTTCATTCAATGATCGGTTACCCATCCCTCCACCAGTGCTCATTCTCAACCACCAATGATCTCAGTATCCCTCCCACCCACCCCCACCCCCTACCCCTCCCCACCCCACCTCTGTGGCAGGGTATTCCCTTTTCTTATCTCTCTCCTTTTGGGTATTGTGGTTGGCAATAGAGGTATTGAGTAGTCATCCTGTTCGGTCTATAGTCTATTTTCGGCAGCTTCCAAACCAAGAGGGTCCTCCCAAGCACCCTTGACTTGGTGTTCCCTTCTTTGTCTGAGCTGCCTTTTCCCCCAGCATGTGAGACCGGCTCCCAACCCAAGCGGGTCGTCCCAGCACCCTCTCTGTCTGAGCTGCCTTTTCCCCCAGCATGTGAGGCCGGCTTCCAAACCGTAGGGCAAACCTCTGGCCCTTATCTCTATAATTCTTGGATGTTAGTCTCCTATTCTGTTACTTTATATTCCACAGGTGAGTGCAATCTTTCTATGTCTGTCTCTCTCTTTCTGACTCATTTCGCTTAGCATGATACTTTCCATGTAGTACCACATGTATATAAATTTCATGACTTCATCCTTTCTAACAGCTACGTAGTATTCCATTGTGTAAATGTAGCAGAGTTTACTTAACCAGTCATCTGTTCTCGGGCACTCGGGTTTTTCCAGATTTTGGCTATTGTAAACAGTGCAGCAATGAACATACAAGTGCAGATGTCATTTCGACTATACTTTTTTGTCTCTCCAGGATATATTCCCAGAAGTGGTATTGCTGGGTCAAATGGGAGCTCAATTTCTAATTTTTTTTGAGAATCGTCCATACTGTTTTCCGAAAGGGCTGAACCATTTGGCATTCCCACCAGCAGTGAAGGAGAGCCCCTTTTTCCCCATATCCAAGGCAACATTGGTTGCTTTTGTTCTTTTGGATGTGGGCCAGTCTCTGTGGTGTGAGATGGTATCTCATTGTTGTTTTGATCTGCATCTCCCTGATATTTAGTGATGTAGAGAATTTTCTCGTGTACCTTTTAGCCATTCTGATTTCTTCTTTGAGAAAGTTTCTGTTCATTTCATCGCCCCGTTTTCTGATGGGGTTGGATGTTTTCTTCTTGTGGAGTTCGACCAGTGCCTTGTATATCCTTCATATCAGCCCTTTATCAGATGGATATTGAGTGAATATCCTTTCCCATTCTGTGGATCGTCTTTGTATTCTGGTCTCTGTTTCATTTTGTTTATATTCTTTTTTTATTAGTGAAACATCATGAGGTACTGTTGTAGACTTACAAACTTCCATGCTTGGGTTTCAGTTATACAATGATAGAGTACCCATTCCCTCCACCAGTGCCCATTCTCCACCACCAATGATTCCAGTAACCCTCCCATCCTCCCACCCAATCCCCCCCCCCACCCGCCTTTGTGAAAGGGCATTCCCTTTTGCTCTCTCTTTCCTTTAGGGTGTTGTGGTTTGCAATAGAGGTATAGAGTGGCCATCGTGTTTGGTCTATAAACCACTTTCAGCATCCATCTCTCAAATATTTAATATATTTATATATTTTATATAGATATATATTTACATAGAAAATTATTAAGACATTAAATGGATTAAAAAACATTTGCATAATAGATAGCATAACTTATATATAAAATTTCCTTTCTAAGACTTTATATTACTGTAGGTACTATACCTATGTATATGTTTGAATACATCAAAAATCATTTACAAAATATTGGTACTTATTTTTTTCTGGACTAATAGGAATGGAGAGGCACCAGTTTGGCAGGAGTAATTTTTTCTGTGATGTTTGTATTATATAGTTTAAGTGCATATACATATTTCTATAAAAATGCATGATTTCTAAAGAATATAAGGATATGTTGATGGGAAATGGGGAAAGAATGAGACGAGTTGATTGCTTATGAATGTCATGAAAACAAACACAAAATTAGGTATCTTATGAAAATATTCTTATGGTATTGGAAACACTTAGTCTGTATGATGGATGAATAATTTACTGTGACAGATAGATATGTAAGATACAAAGCATGGTACTAGTTGTCTGTATTCTACTATTTGGTTTTAATCTTCATGAAGAAACATTTTAATATCATTTTGTTCCTTGTAAACTGCCTACAATGGAAAATTAAGAGTATTTTTTACTAACATATCTGATTTGTATGGCAATTGTATTTATCAATATAAATTAACAAATTGTCCTATTTTTATATCTTTCAGTCCTATGATGTTATCAGCTTGACTTCATCATCTGGATTTGGAGAATTCTGAGATATGACCAAGATCAGACTAGTCCTCTAAGATTGAAGTGCAAGGCAAATGAATCATGGTGAACTCACCACAGCAAATAATGCCTGTGATATGGAACCATAGCAGAAAATCAGTGTTCTCTTTTGGTGGCACCCAATACTTGCTGTATAACTTTGAATTACTATAAATACATTAAGATCCCAATAAATTTTGTCTCTCATTTCTGTGTTAGATCTGTATGACTACTAGCTAGTAAATTATGACTTTTCACTATGATTTTCATAATGACTCAAGATATGAAATATTATTAAAACAGTTATTTTGTTGTTGTTCTGAAATTTCAGTTAAGTGTGAGCAGGAGGAGAAAAAAATCTAAAGAATTAAGTCTTAGCACATTCTCTTAACTTTTTTTTTTTGCTTTTTTGGGTCATAACCGGTGATGCACAGGTTATTCCTGGATCTGCACTCAGGAATTACTCCTGGTGGTGCTCGGGGGACCATATGGCATTCTGGAGTCAGCCCGGGTCGGCTGTGTGCAAGGCAAACACCACATGGCTCCAGCCCCCTCTCTTAGCTTTTATTGTCTGCTTTTTTGTTATTGTTTTTGGATCCACCTGACAATGCTCAGAGGTTACTCCTGGCTCTGCACTCAGGAATTACTCCTAGCAGTGCTCAGGGGATCATATGGGATGCTGGGGATTGAATCCTAGTCAGTTGTGTGAAAGGTAAACACTGTACCTGCTGTACTATCACACTGGTGACTTGTTGTCTACTATTTTTAGTTCTTTATATCCCCTCTCCATATCTTTCTGTCATCTATCATTTATATCTTTTATGTTTATTTACACCTTAACTATTTTTTGTTCAAAATGGCTGATATGAATATAAATTTTACATGAATATAAAATATTCAGTATTAAATATTCTGATTGATTTAAAGATTTTTTAAAAGCTGGGGCCAGAACAGCAACAGCGGGTAGGGTACTTTTCTTGCACGTTTTTATCCCCAGCATTCTGTATGGACCCCTGAGCCCTGCCAGGATTAAGTCCTGAACACAACCTGGTGGGCCCCCAAACAAACAAACAACAACAGAAAACAGAAAAATAAAATTGGCAGCTCTCAGTATTTCACATAATTCACTAATTCTTGTAACTAGAAAAAGTTGAAGTTGATTTTGAGATGCTTGGAGATTTATGCTAGTAAAAGTAAAGTAAAGGCCCTCCCGTTGATTGTCGATTTGCTCGAGCGGGCCCAGTAACGTCTCCATTGGAGACTTTGTTGTTACTGTGTCTGGCATATCGAATACTCTCGGTAGCTTGCCGGGCTCTCAGAGAGGGGCGGAGGAATCGAACTCAGGTCGGCCATGTTGGCCGCTTGTAAGGCGAACGCCCTACCCGCTGTGCTATCGCTCCAGCCCATGGAAATTTTACAGACAAGACCCAGAAACGAACACAGACATGCATAGAATCTTTCTTTCCTTCCTTCCTTCCTTCCTTCCTTCCTTCCTTCCTTCCTTCCTTCCTTTCTTTCTTTCTTTCTTTCTTTCTTTCTTCTTTTGGTGGTCTCAAGAATCTAACCCAGGATTTCACACAAGAGACTTCTACTGCTGAGAACTAGAACTAGCCCAGAATATCTTTTTTAAAATAAAAATTTACATGTAATATTTCACATTGTCGGAGAAGTGCTGAATTGTTCATTAAGTTGTGTTGAAGGCATCTAAGTATAGCATGAAAAAATGTTCCTCATTATATCCCTTTATAACAATTTAAAGATATAAAACTTAAAAATATTAGAAGTAAACTTTGGTGAGTATATTATTATGGAATTGAAATATCTATTTTGTTATTGTGGTACTATGGTTTACAGTAGTTTTAGTTTTTATGCTTTTCATATACAAAGTTACTGCATATTCACCACCATCAAAGTGCCAAAGACTCCACCAATGTCCTTGTGTCACTTCTTTTCTACATTACTCTTCCCCCAACTTCTGTTTCCCCTCCTTGGTAAACTGAATTTTGTTGTGAGAATCCAATTGTTTATTTTAATTAATCGTTGTCCATTTCTAACTTTTAAAATTTACCACTTATAAGTGTGGGCTGGAGCGATAGCACAGAGGGTAGGGTGTTTGCCTTGAGCGTGACTGACCTGGGTTCGATTTCTCTGTCTCTCGGAAAGCCCGGCAAGCTACCAAGAATATCCCTCCCGCACGGCAAAGCCTGGCAAACTACCCGTTACACATTCGATATGCCAAAAACAGTAACAAGTCTCACAATGGAGACATTACTGGTGCCCGCTCAAGCAAATCGATGAACAATGGGAGGACAGTGCTACAGTGCACAGTGCTACTTATAGGTGAAATTATTCAGTCTTTGTCCTCCCTCTGAAATAATTCAGTTAACATACTATAACTCCATACATATGGTAACAAAAGATTTTATATTTTCTTATAACTGATACCTGCATACATACATATATCAGGATTTCTTTATTCACTCATCTGTTGACATTTGGTTTGTGTCCATGTATTGGTTATTGTAAATAGTGCTCATGAGCCAATCCAGACTGTTGTTGAATTTTGTGAGTCCTTTATATATCTTATCAGATGAATGACACAAATATTTTTCCTATCCTAGTGTCTTTATTTTACTCATCACATCTTTATTGTAGAAACTTTTTAGTTTGATATACACTTATTTTTATTTTCTTTTCCTGTTGCACTATATTGAAGATGTCCCTGAAGTCAATGCTGTGAGAAATAGATATTACATTGATTAAATATTTATGACTTAACAAGTACTGTCACAAATACTGTGGATATAATGGCAGGAGAAGTAATTGCTATGTAAGATAGCTTACAATTTAAAAAGGCAGATAAGCAAGATATAAGGCATTGCTGGATCTACATATTCAAGTTTCTCTCAGAACTTTCACCAACGATGAAAGAGAGTCCTTTTCTCCCCACAACTGCAACAGCACTAGTTGCTCTTTCACCATCATTGCACCTTAATCCCCTGACCTGGCCCTGTTGCTTCTCATCTGTCTCTTCTCCCTCACCCCTCCCTTCACTCTTTCTTTCATTCTCTTCCCTATACTATGAAGTTTTGGGGGAACAATTTTTTCCCCAACATGCCCAGACACACTGGGTCCCGGGTCCCGGCAGATGTCAGGCGAAGGATGACAGGTGCTCAGAAAAACCACTCCAGAAGACAGTCGATGGCCCTTCACTTTATTGCCAAATACACACATATTTTATAGAGGGTCTTGTCTTAAGAGGATGGTCCAATCACAAACTTTAGCATTACTGACCTATCACCTTTCCAACTCTGCTTTTCCCCGGCCCAATCCCAATTAGGGCTAGATGCTGCAGTTAGGAATGGCTTGCTAAGCTGACAATTCTTGTGGGGTTTGGTGAGACTCAAGGCAGATACCTAGTGCTTGTCAAAGGTGCCCAGACACTCCCTACTGGGTATCGACAGTGACAAGGACAGGTCTTAATCTGCTCTGGCGCCTGTTGCCATGCTTCACATGGGGCCAAGTTTGGTCTGGGCATACTGCCTTTAAAACATTTCATTCCCTTATCCAGTTAGTCTAAATACAGCATATAAGTAGCGCCATCCTCTGTTATTCTTCTAATTCTGGCTTGCTTCATTTAACATGATGCCTTCTAGTTCCATCCACATTGCTGCAAATCGTGTGATTTCATCACACCTTACAGCTATGTAGTGTTCCAGTGTTTGTGTGTGTGTGTGTGTATCACATCGTCAAAATCTACTTATCTGTGGTTGGACATTTTAGCTATTGTACCAATTATGCATACATTCCTTTGAGTGGAAGTTTTTCTGTCATGGGGATAGATACCCAAAAGTGAAATTGCTGGGTCAAATGGTTGCTCAATTCTGAGTTGACTGAGTACTCCCCATACTGTTTTTCATAAAGGTTGGACCAGACAAAATTCCCACAGGCGGTGGATGGAAGTTCCTTTTGTAACACACCTCTGCAAACAGAGATTGTTCCCAGTATTTTTGATTTGTGTCATTATCATTGATGCAATATGGTATCTTATTTTTCAAGCATTTAAATTTCTTTTTTTTTTACTTTTTGAAAAAATCAATCACTATGAGATAGAGCCTTACAAAGCTGTGGGTTTTTTTTTTTTGCGGGGGGGGGGTGGGTCACACAAGGGTTACTCTTGGCTCTGCACTCAGGAATTACTCCTGGTGGTGCTCGAGAGACCCTATGGGATACTGGGAATTGAACCTGGGTTGGCTACATGAAAGGCAAACACCCTACCCGCTGTGCTATCACTTCAGCCCCTACAAAGCTATTTATGATTAAGTTTCAGTCATACAGTATTCCAACACTCATCCCTCCACCACTGTACATTTCCCAACATCAGTGTCCCAGTTTTCCTTCGCATTGCCCCCAACCCCATCCCCCAGCCTGCCTCTATGGCAGTTGATTTTCTTCTCTCCCTCCTTTTTCTCTGTCTCTGTCTTTCTCTCCTTTTGTACATTGTGATTTGCAATCTTGATATTGAAAGGTTATCAGGAGTAACCCTTTTCCTACTTTTAACACTCAGTTCTTGTCCATGGTGATCATTCTCAGCTATTATTGTTGTACTGGTCTCTTTTCTATCTACCTACCCTCTGGCCCACGCACACTTGTGGTTGATTCCAACCATTGACCAGTCCTCCTAGTCTCTTTTTTCCCTGGGGATTAATATTAGTCTCCTACTATATATTTTTATATTCCACAAATGAATGCAGTTATTCTATATGCCTCTCCTGATTCATTTAATTCAGCATGATACTTACCATGTTTATCCATTTATAGGCAAAGTTCATTACATTTTTTCTAACAGTTGCATAATATTCCATAGAGTAGATGTGCCATACTTTCATTATCCATTCTTCTGGTCTTGGGCACTCATGTTGCATCCAGATTATGGCTATTGTGAATAATGCTCCAATGAACATAGGAATGCAGATGGTGTTTTGGGGACCCCCAGGTTATAGTCCCAGAAATGATATTGCTGGGTCAAATGGGAGCTTACTTTCTAGTTTTTTGATGAATGTCCATATTGTTTTCCAAAAAGACTGGACCGGTTGGCATTTCTACCAACAATGAAAGAGAGTCCTTTTCTCCCCACAACTGCAGCAGCACTAGTTGCTCTTGTTCTTTTGGATGTGTTCCAGTTTCCGTGATGTGAGATGATGTTCTGGTTTTTATTTGCATCTCCCTTTTCATTAGTGATGAAGAGTATTTTTCATGTGCTTTTTGGCCATTTGTATTTATTTTTTGAG